GGGGAAGAAGGAAGGAAAGGAGGAAGGTGTGAGTGAAGGTGGAGGGGGAAGGAGAGGGGGGAAGAGGGAAGGAAAGGAGGAAGGGGAGCGTGAAGGTGGAGAAGAAGAGGAGGAAGAAGAACAAGACAAAGAGGCGGAGGGGAGGAGAGCGTGAAAGTGGAGGAGAGGAGAAAGGATGAGAAGGGCAGCAAAGTGAGGGTGAAGATGAAAGGGATGAAGGATGGGAAGACTGAAGACAATGAGATGAGGGTGAAGGAGCAAGTGAGAAGAAGAGGAGGATGGAGGAAGACAAGCTGAAAAAGGAGGGGAAGATGGAGTAGAGCAACAAAGTCTCGAGAAAGAGGAGGAGAAGAGGAGGAGGAGGAGGAGGAGGAGGAGGAAGAAGAAGAAGAAGAACAAGAAGAACAAGAACAAGAAGAACAAGAAAGAAATAATGATGGTGAAGCAGCAAGTGAGAAGAAAATGGAAAAAGAAGGGGAGTATGTGAAGATGGAGAAGAAGAGAAAGAGGAACAAAGTGATGGTGAAGACAAAAGGAAGAAGGATGAAGGCTGGGAGGAATGTGGTGATGAAGAAGATGACAAGATGTTGGTGGAGGACCATGTGAGAAGAGGAGGATGGAGAAAGAAGGAGGAAGACAGAAAATGGAGAAGAAGAGGAAGGTGGAGAAGAGGCAAATGTGAAGACGAAGGAAGAGGAAAAAGGGAGGAATGTAGAGGATGAAGACAGGATTATGGTGAGGGAGCAAGTAAGGAGGATGGAGAAAGGAGGAGGAAAACTGAAGATGGAGAAGAGGAGCAGAAAGGTGAAGAAGAGGAACAAAGGGATGGGGAAGAGGAAGAAAAGGATGGGAGGAATGTGGAGATGAATAAGAAGATGATAGTGAAGGATCAAGTGAGAAGAAGAGGGGGATGGAGAAAGGAAAAAGAGGACAGTGGAGATGGAGAAGAGGAGGAGGAAGGTGAACTAGAGGAACAAAGTCTTGATGGTGAAGAAGAAAGTGAGAAGACGTGCAAACTGCAGAAGAGGAGGAAGAAAGGGATGAAGAAAAAGAGGAAGGACCTGAGGACAATGAAAAGGAAAAATGTAGGGAATGATGAAGATGATAAAGACAAAAGTGAAATTATGGATTCAATTATTCTTCCATTCAGTATTTTAAAAGAGATTTTTGTTTTGCAGTCTTCTGGAACTGGTACCTGTTTCCTGTTGGCCTTCTGGCTGTAACAGGTTTGATCTGATTTGATTTGGTGCCCTCACCTGGTTACCTCCCCAATTAATTTAAACATTTTTTAAAACTGCATTTGATCCAGCCTGGAAAATTAAACCCCCAAAAGCAAGCATATTCTCCTTTGCATTGTGGACTGACTCCTTTTCTCCCTCAGTTTTTTAAAATAATAAATCACCTTAGAGTGTGGTGTTTTTATTGTTCTCAGTGGCTTTGGATACAATATGTAGAAACAAAGGATGTAAACGGAGATATAAACAAATCAGCAAATTCCTAAGTTTCCCCTCTCTGGTTGATAAAAAGATTCGTTTGTTTTGATTTTGATGTGTATTTTCTTACTGGCTGCTTTTAGAAGCTTAAAAATACAACTGTGTATTGATAGGCAAGTTGTAGGCGAGGATGACATCAGCGTTTTCATAGCAGCCGGTATAAGATTTTGAAGCCATTAATAATCCATGTAACCTATTTTGCAGACGAGCTTAAATTAGCCAGTGAAGCAAAAATAAGGGATGGGTTTTTGATTATGCAAGGCGCATGTTGCTTTTCCAGGGACAAACAATTCACTTTCTTAGCTGTCTTTGCATTCTTCTTATGGAGTGGAACCGCAGGGTATAAATGAAATAAATAAATTAGAAATTAAAAAGTAAACAGGCATAGATGGGGAGCAGCAGTAGCGTTGGCAAATGCTATGATAGGACGTAGTTTGGGGAAGGGTCCTGCAAACCAGCTTCGCATCCCCGTATGGAGACAAACCCTGATTTATTGATTACCTTTAGCTTGTCTGATAACTGAACACAGGAAGTGTAAGGAAGTCCTCGACTTAACGGCACAATTGGGAACAGAATCTCTATGGCTAAGCGAGGTGGTTGATAAGTTATGCCTGACTGTATATGACCCTTTTTGCTTCCATTGTTAAGCAAATCACTGCAGTCATTAAGTGAATCATGCTGTCATTAAATGAATCTAGCTTCCCCCATTGACTTCGCATGTTGGAAGCCAGCTGCGAAGGTCGCAAATGGTGTGATTACAGGACTCCCGGAGGCTGTGACCATCGTAAATACGTGTGGATCGCCAAGCGCCTTAATTTTGATCATGTGATTGTGGGGAATGCTACGATGGTCATAAGTGTGAGGACTTAGCTTAAAGAAAAGTTTAGAGCTTTAAGAAGGATGTCTACCAGAAAAAGAAAAATTATTCTATGAGGCTAACAGATGTGTGTGTGTGTGATTTCAATTTAATCAGTTAATTGGAGTTAGTTGGATTTTTATTGGTCTGAAAGTGAACTTTAAAGTATGTTAAGAGGAAGTTTTAAAAAGATGCATTAGAATGGTTTGATTTTAGAAATGTTTTTTTTAAGTTTAGTTTTTAAAATGGATTAAAATGGTATTTTTTCCCTTTAAGGTTAAAGAATCTGAAAGAATACAGTGAATTTTATTAATACAAATGGTGATAGTTTATAAAGATTATTGTTATCTTTATATTAAATTATATATGTGTGTATATATATGTGTGTGCGTGCATGTGTGCATATATGGTATATATGTGTATGATTTCTATAGTAAGGAAGGTAAAGCAGAAATGGTTACATTGTTTTAATCAGAGGAGGATATATTTAATTATGTTTTTTATTTGGATATCTGGATTTTGTGCTTGTGATAAAAAAAAAATGAAACTGACTTTGGTTTTGCCGATTAGATAGATTTGTTCTAGAAATGGCTAGTTATAATATGTAAAAGTAAAAAGCTGAGGCTGGAATGTTACCTTGTGCTGTGCTGAAAAGAGTCAAAAGTCAACACTTTCCCCCTTTTTTCCCCTTGCACCTCATATTTTCTCTCCCCCCCCCCCTTAATTTCATTTTTTTTTCCGTGTATTTTATTTTAGATATTGATAAAACAATAAAAGTTCTGGGGAAGAAAGGGTTGTAAAGTCACTTTTTTCAATGCCGTTGTTCCTGAACAAACGGTTGTGAGTCAAGGATTACATATATTGTATGAGTCAGCCAAATTAAAGGTGCCTTTTGAATTCTCAGATCTTAAGGGCTGCTTTGATAACGTTGCAATGGTTGTGTAAATGGTTGCATTTACTTTCTTAAGTAATGCTCATATGTGCCACTGGATGGCAGAAAACTCTAAGAAATCCAGGGCATCTCTCTTTTACAGAAGGAGTTAAGTTTTCCTGTAATCTAAGAACAACAGAATTGGACTTCCAGGGATGGAGCATCCAGAACTTCAGGAGGGAAGCCGTTCCACCGATTAATTGATCTGTCGAGAAATTTCTCCTTACTTCTAGATTGGATCTCTTCTTGATTAGTTTCCATCCATTCCTTATTGTCCTGCTTTGGAGAGTAGGTTGACCCTCCTCTGTGGCAGCCCCTCAAGTACTGGAAGGCTACAATCGTGTCACCTCTAAATCCTTCTCTTCATTATATTAGACATAATCAGATCCTGCAACTGTTCTTGATACGTTTTTATCTTTTAAGAGTTTGCAAAGGGAAACTCAGTGCGCTTGCTGTAAGCACCATCCTTCATCCGTTGTATCTTTCCACCTTGTTCCTATAGAAGGAGTGAGGGAGGGAAGTGTGTCATTCAGGATTTGCTTAAAGATGAAACTTTGGAAATTCATACAAACGTACATCACGCCTCTAAAGAGCAAGTTTGTTGGAGGAATATATATTTTAGAGCTACGAAGACACGTGTAACGTATGTAAACATGGGGAAGGGATGCAGTCATGGTCCCATTTTGATTTTTTGGACAGACTTCAGAGAGTAATGAGGACTGTAGAAAAAAACAACTGCTATTAGCCTGCCTTCCATTGAGAACCTGTATATTGCAAGAGTCAAAAAGAGGGCTGTGAAAATATCTACAGACCCCTCACATCCTGGACATAAACTGTTTCAACTCCTACCCTCAAAACGACACTATGGAGCCCTGCGCACCAGAACAACTAGACACAAGGACAGTTTTCTCCCGAACGCCATCACTCTGCTAAACAAATCATTCCCTCCACACTGTCCAACTATTTACAAAGTCTGCATTACTATTACTATTCATCTTCTCATCCTTCCTATCACCCATCTCCTCCCACTTATGACAATGACTAACCTTGTTGCTTGCATCCTTACAATTTTTATTGACTTTTTATTAGTATGATTTGATTGCTTATTGTACCCTATGACTATTATTAAGTGTTGTACCTTATGATTCTTGACTCTTGACCAATGTATCTTTTCTTTTATGTACACTGAGAGCATTTGCACCAAGACAGATTCCTTGTGTGTTCAATCACACTTCGCCAATAAAGAATTTTATTCTATTCTATTCTTTGTGGACACCCCTAAATGGCAGTGGTGGGATCCCCTCCACAGTTAAACCCCACAAAAATCACCCTATAAAATAATCTTGAGTTTTAGATTTAGCCTGGTTCAACC